CCGACCAACGAACCCTATACGTCCGCGGGCAAAGTGCCGGTGGGTCTCGCCAGCGCCCCTCCGAGCAGCATGACCCGGAAGGGGGCGCGTGGCTGTGCAGCGCGTTTGCGGGGCGTTCCTGCGCGCGCGGCGACGCCGCGTGACTGCCGCGCGGCGGCGGCGCGCGCATGCGGCGCGCGCCCGCGCGCCCGCGCACGCCGCGACGCCACTGCGCCGCTGCGCGGCCGCTGCGCGGGCGCGCCGCGCATCGGCGCCGCGTCGTGCAAGAAACAGAGCGGCCGCAAAACGCGATCTGCTGGGCCGCGCCGTCGCGGCATGACCACGCGCGCGCCGAAGCGTGGTGGGCGCGCGCCTGCGCGGCGCCGCGCCTCGCCATGCATGGCGCTGCGTAGTGCGCGGGCGCGCGACGCTGCGACGGCGGGGCGCGCGCGCTTGCGCCGGGCGCGCGGCCGTCGAAGGCGCGCCGGCGCCATTGCCAGGCCAGCAACGCGCGTCACCGCGACAGCCTGCCAGGTCAAGCCGCGCCAGCGCATTGCCTACGCGCGGCATCACGCAGCAAACTGTACCCGCACCAAACGCCGTTATGTCTGCGCACGAGCCGTGGAACTCGGTCAACAGCATTTGCGACGACAGCGCCGCCGACCACAGCTGATACCACAACGACGACGAGAACATCTTCGACCACGACAGACCACCACTACAACCATGGCGTCGGCTCCGACTATAGTCGGAGCCGACGCCATGGTCGGCGTATACGCCGACCACAGCGGTTCACACCACCGTCTTGTAGACATCGGGCAACGTGATCTACGTGATCGTCGACGCTGGCGCAATCGTCAGCACGGGGGCGTTCCGCTTCACTTCTAGACGAGTCCGAAGCAGCGCCATCCCCAAGGATCGCCAACCACGCGGCCGGGAAAATTGAAACGATTCGATTTTCACGTATGCACCGGCAGACAGCGCTAATCCCGGCCCACGCGCAGGCGTCCTGCTTGCCGACGAGCACCGGCGCGCAGTCTCACAGGCCAGTGCATCCCGCGCGCGCGGCGCGCTCAGCCTGAACAGCCGGGCGCGCAGACATGCGCGCGCGCGCGGCTGTCCACGCGCGCGCGCGCGCCTGGAGAGAAGCCGGCAGCGGGCCGTGGCTATGGCCGCGGAGCCAGGTCAGATTGGATCAATTGATTGGGGCGAAACCGAGAATAAGTCAAACTTAAATTCGAGCGACGCATCTCATCGGGGATGTCGCGTCGGCACGCGCGGCGACCCAGGCAAGCCAAGGGTAGAGGGGCTTCAATTCAGTGAGTCCGAGCACTGGCCAGCGCCAAATGGAGTTTCTCGGCGCCGGGTGTCGGGCGCGCCGCTCCATGCCCCTGCGCCCCCTTCTTGGTGCTGCTGGGGCCCAGGTACACCGGCTACGGCGCCTGCGCGGTCTCCCAGGCGCCGTCTGCGAACCGCAATTTCACCGAGCTCGGCGGCGCCCGCCTGTGCGCCGCCAACTCGCGCGGCCATTCTGGCGACAGTGCGGCCGCGGCTTCTGCGCTGTTCAGCGCGCCGCGCCGCGCTCGCGCGCAACCGGGCGGCGCGCGAAAGCGCGCGCGCGAGGCGCGACTTGCGCGACGATCCCCGTGCGCGCTCAGCCTAGTGCGCGGCAGCCGCCAGTGCGCGGATGTGGGACTGCGGCGTCGTCAGGAATGCGTGCGCCACCGTTATTGGATTTCCCGCGGGGGGCGCGGGGGGCCGGTCCATCCGCCATCGATGCTTCTCTTAGAGAGAGCGTGATCCACCGCCGCTTCACAGCGGAAAATTCCCGCCCTCTCCTTCCGTAACCCGCCCCCCCCCCCCCATCGAAAATCCCCCCCCCCCCCTGCTGCCCCCCCTTCCCGCTCCCCCCCCCCCCCCTTCCCCCGGCAAAACACCCCCCCTAACCCCCGCCCCCCCCACCCCCTTCCGGAAAACCGGGGGGGGGCCACTTCCGGTTCGACCCCCCCCCCGCCCGGAAAACCGGGAGGGTCATTGCCGGTTCGAGCCCCCCTTCCCCCCCCCCTCCCCGCCGGCAAACCGGGGTGCGCGCGTGCAGAGACAACGTCCGAGAATCCACGTCCGTCTGCTCATTGGAGTCTGCTCGATGGTCTGGGCCGCCGGGGCGCCCCCGCCGTGCAGGGTAGGCGGGCGGCTCTTGTGTCGAGCGAAGAACGTCGCGGGCGACTCGGGCGACCTCCAGCGAGCGGCGCCGCATTTTCAGCGCAGGGGGCCCCTGCGCACCTCGCCGTGGATGCCGAAGTGTAGACGCCGCGAGCGCCGCCCTCGCCGCGGCCCTCGTACTGCGCGCTGCCGCGCGCACGTCTGCGCTGGGCAGGGTGCCGGGCAGCGCGGCCGCCCGCGGCGCGGAGCTGTCCGACCGCGCGGCGTCCGCGATGGATGTCGAGTCCAGCCAGCCCGGCGCTTTCGAGGAGGTCTTCTGCAGCGGCGGCGCTTCCGCGGCCAGCTGCCTCGGGCGCGTCGAGGCCACCCGGCGGGGCGGGGGCCGCGGGCAGCGCGACGCACCGCGCACTGCCATTTTGCCAAGGAGGGCGGCGCCGATCGCATCGCCACGGAGGCGATGATCAAGAAGGCGCATGCCCTCATGGGTGTCAAGGGCCAGCTGGAGAACGCCGCGCTGAGGGATGCCGCGTTGGGCGCCGCGGCCAACGCGCCCGCGGCCCTGCCTGGGGCGCCTGAACAGGGACATGGGCGGCGCGATGACCGCCGCCGAGGATTTCCGCAGCGTCACGCGCCGCAAGACTTCAGAGTTGGGGCTGGCGGACTCCAGGGCCCCCCCCGTCGCGGAGCCCTCGTTTCCTCTGGCGCATTATTTCCACCGCGCCTCCTGCCGCGCCAAGGGATTGCAGTCGGGCGGGGAGAAGATTGCCGGGGATCTCAACGTCGCGATTCCCGGGGAGCTGGGGCGAGCCTTCTGGCCAACCTTCAATGGCACGCGCGCCCAGGCGCTCCCGCTGAGGATGGGCGCCTCCAGTCTCGCTGAGGCGACCGCCGCCGACGCTTGCATCCGGATGTTCAGTTTCGTGGGGATTATCAGAAACTATAACAACACGCTAAACAACAAGCGTTCCTGAATGCAAGACATCTGGCAGACTTCTACGCGGATCCTGCGCGATGTGAGCAGATCTACCCCCGCGACGCCCGTCGTGTTCATGGCAGCTAAGAACTCCATGCCGATGGCGACCTCCCAGGTTGCCAGCCCCCTGGTGGCCGCGGACGAGGTCGTGGTCAACGAAGGACGGCGAGGGCCCTTCCTTGGAGGACGGGTCGCGTCGCGGACGCCGGCGCGAAGCTGAATTCGGAGATCTGCGACCCTGCCGAGAAATTGTCTGGGGCTCCAGTGCAGCTCCATTGCGCAGCAGCGCCCGGCCTATAGGCCATCGCCGACGCCGGCCCGGTGCTATCGCCGCTTATCGGGGGCGGCGCTGCCGGCGAGGCCGCTGCCAGAGTCGCCGGACATGCGGCATCAGCCGCTAGGCTCGCCGCCATGAGCTCGCGGGCAGTGACGCGCATAAGCGCGCGGTCGCCACGGTTGACCCCGCGCCTTGGTCAAGGGCAGCTAGCCGAGCCAGCCCCACTCGCAAGGCTGCTCGCGGACAACAGCATGAACGTCTTCGTCGCGAAGCCCAGGCGGGCGCGACGCGCCAGGCGCTCGACAGGCGTCGCGCGCGCGCGCCCGAGCCGGCGCCGCGAGGTGCCAGCGCGACAGCGCGCCGCATATGTCGGTGTTGCATCGCTGGCCGCGCTTCCTTGCAGACTAGCTGGCGCGTTTCGCGGTGGCCCAGCGCGTTGGCCACGCCGTGCTGTCGGCAATCGGGCAGCTGCGAACAGCCAAGTGGGGCTCCTGCGACGCTGCGCTGCTAGTGGCCGCGCCCAGAGCACGCGCCGCGTCGGTGCCGCGCGCCAGTCGCTAGTCCAACGCAAGGACTAGTCAACAGCTGTGATCTGGTAAGCGTTAGCAACTGGAGACGCACAGCCGCAAATGGCTGGACGAGCTGCATGGGCGCGCACGCGAAACAAGGCGCGCGGGTGCTCCTCAGCATCGCAGTCGCGCGTGCGACGCAACGGCCAGCTGCGCCCGCTGGCACCTACTCTCAAAAGAGCGCCGAAGGCGAGCGGCCATGCCAGCAGAGTGCCAGGAATAGAGCCAGGGAGCGATCTTGGCTGGAAGGCGCGATGGGTGCTGCGGCTCGAGCGCGCGCCCGCCAAGATGTGTGCCGAACTCCCACGAGCAAGCGCTCCTGGCCGTGAGGCGACATGTTCTGGTCGCGCTGGGAAAAGAGCCTGTCCCTGGGCTCTCCCGGCGGTGGAGGTTCGTTACGATCCACAACCCTGGCCAGGGTCAGTTCCGCTGATCTCGCGCGCGGGCTGACCACACGCGAGCCGGCAAGGCTCCCAGGGTTCATTGTATTCTGTTCGGGCTGAGGCTCCTGAACCATGGGTGAATTGCGCCGAGCGTCCGCTGCTGAGCCTTCGCGGTGAATGCTCTAACACCTCATTGCGGGTGGCCTTCTGTAGCCGATCTGTTGCGGAGCTGCGGAGGGACATTCTCCATTGCCCAGTAGCCCCGACTCGAGTAAGGGAGGTCCGCTGCCGATTGGGTCACAGCGGGCCCGCATTCTGTACAATGTTGAAAGGGAACAGGACCGCCGCTCTGCTATCTCTCACGTTAGCACTGCCGCCACGTTTTACTTCTCATCATTGCCACCCGCCATTATATCAGGAGGGGAAAAAACACACAGACACAATTAATCGACGATTCCCAGGAAAATATGGGAAAATATGGGAAGTGGGGGGGGGAGACAAAAACCCAGAAAATATGTGAAAATATGGGGACTAATTTTATTTGTGTGTATTTATTTGTGTGTCCCAGTTCCCCTTCAATTATAGTCCTCCCCCCTCCTCTCTCCTCCCCCCTCGCTCCGTTGCCCGCCCGTGGCCTCCCCGGCCGGCGTGCCCAGGGGGCGCGCTCGGCGAGCGCGCGAGCAGCCGGGGTGAGAGCCTGGCCTCCCACGGGGTATAGGTCCGCGCTTCGGCCGCGGGGGCGAGGGAGGGCAGGGCGGAGGGGCGAGGGAGAGCGGCAGGGACGCGTGGAGGAGCAAGGGGGAGGAAGAGGAAGGAAAAGAGGAGGAGGAGGAGGGGGAGGAGGAGGAGGAGGAACAAGGAGGAGGAAGAGGAAGGAGAAGAGGAGGATGAGGACGGGGAGGAGGAGGAGGAGGAGGAGAGGAGGAGGAGCAACAGGAGGAGCAGAAGGAGGAGGAACAAGATGAGGAGAAACAGGTTTTTTTGATTAGGGCGGCCTCTCCACCAAAGCGACAAGGGCGACCTATCTCAGCACTAATGGGGTACGCTGAGAGGAACATGCGCCATGCAGTGGGCGCAAAGGGGCGGCAATGACACTGACAGTCACTGCCCCAGGAATGAAAACAGAGAGGCGAACGTCCGCTGCAAAAAACAACCACCTCCACTGCACCGATCCCTGGTATCGAACCAGGACAGAGTAGGTGAAGAAAGGTTGGGAAACCCAGGTCACCACAGTCAAGGCCCAGCCTCCGAGGCAGAACCTTGGGCTGTCGGGCGGGCGCATCCTACACAGGAGTACGGTTACTGAGCAGCACTTACAACAGTTCGAGCACGCCATCGATCGCAACAGTGACGTGGCGACGTCTTTCAAGGAGGAGGATAAGCCGGTTTAGAAGGAGGAGGTGGAGGAACAGGCGGAACAGGAGGAGGCGGGCGGAGGAGGAGGACGAGGAGGACGACAAGGAGGAGGACGATGAGGACCAGTGTGCGCCCAATAATCATCAACGATGTTGGAGTAAACCTTCCCTCCAAGCTCCCAATTCATAAGCTCTTATTACGGTTCATTTTCATTGATGGAACTGCCTCGTTGTAAGACACCCGTTTAAAGACCTTGAATCATGCCAAAACATTGTTTTCGGGATTCCAACGCCACGGATCAGCGTGACTGTCGCGTCGCCGTGACTGTCGCGTCGTGACTGTCGCGTCGTGACTGTCGCGTCGTGACGAAGGTTCGACATCCCATAGTCTGGATCACAGGTTGGAGAAAGGTGAAGCGTGTTTCTGGGCACATTCGGCGGAATTCCTTGGCTCAGGTACCGCTTTAGACAAATTTCGGGCATGGTGTTCTGGACCTTCCGCCTCGGTCGCGTACGGGCTCAATTGTTGGCACCTCACGGCCAGCATATTGCTTGTGGCAAAACGTTGGGAATTCAAGTTTCTTCGCAGAATCCTCCGTCTCTGTCGCCGACCTGGTGAGAGCAACATGGATTACAATCAGCGCACAGCGAGGACCGTCGAAGCATGGGCGGCGCGATTCAATTGCAAGCTTTTGCACCACCGAATTCTACATGAAGTATTTCGGCAGGCATGGAGAGAAGAACACCAAAACTATCCAGCGAACGTCAATCACCTCCGGAACACACGGCGCTTCCGCAGCCGACAGTGGTGGTCAGGGACCCGGCAGATTCCATGGCGCAGTCGTCGTGACCTGGGCCTGATGCATGCGACACCTGGGGGGTCCAATGATTGGGAGGATGCTTTCGTGCTGGTTTACGGGTTGGGCTGGAGATCATTCAGGGACCAATTCGGCCATGAGCGGGAGTGGATGGCCAACTTCGATTTCTTCGCAAATACGGTCTGCACGCAGTGGGGGTTGCCACTGCCACCGTCGCAAAACCGACCAGTGCAAATACCAGACCAACCGAGCAAGCGACGACGACTCCAAGGACACGTCCTGGACGAACTTCCACAATCACATGCTGAGGACGGACGAGATATGGATTGTTCTTGGGGGGATGCGCTGATGCAGGTGCTATTTGTGGTAGACTGCCAACCACTACAACGCATTGTCTGTGGCCACGCCCCTTGCCTCAACCCGGGGGCCCTGCATCTAATCGACCGTGCGTGCGACAATTTGGCGACTTTGGTGATGTCTGGATGGTTGCCCCCAGAACGGTGGCGGGATCCAGTGACACGGCGACGACGCAACTACAACGTCATAGCGGACCACCTCGTCAACTACACCATGGACGCCCGGCAAACATGGTCTTTAGAGTTCGATTGGCCACACCCGAGCAGAGCATTCAATGATTGTAACTTGATTGCTCATACAGATGGCGGGGCGCGAGGCAGAGATTTCGCGGCTTCTGCATGGATCATAGAAGTAGTCTTCGGAAATGGCGATTTGCACAAGCTTGCCATGGGAGGCACATTTCTCGAGACCTGGACAGACTCTTTCTCTGCAGAGGCAGCAGCATTAGCGGAATGCACGACAGTAGTGCGTAGACTGGCTGAACGTTTGGCACATGCATGATGAGCACCCACAGCGAAGTGTCTGGCTAGTCTAGGTGGACTTCAGGCCGAAGGACGAAACGAAACGAAACGATCCATAATCGTGCCAGAACGCCAGTTTTAGGATCCCAAGAAAAAAAACCGATGTAATTGTTGCACCCGCGTAGTCCTGAATCCCTCCACGACACCAGTTCTGGTACGTTGATGATAGGAACCCGTGAAATTCTTGAAAATGTTTGAAACGAATGTGCGCTGCGCTAAGGCGAGAACTACAGTTTGGAAACGACCCGCCCTCAATCCGTGAACCTCTTGTATTTGTAAAACGAATGTGCGCCGCGCTAAAGCGAGAATCACCTTTTGAAAGCCACCCGCCCTGAATCCGTGAAGCTCTCGTAAATGTTTAAAACGAATGTGCGCCGCGCGAAGGCGGGAGCTACATTTTGAAAACGACCCGCCCTCAACCAGTGAAGCTGTGGCAATGCTTTAAAAACTAGTGTGCGCCGCGCTATAGCGAGAGCCACATTTTGAAAACGACCAGCCCTCATTCCGTGCAGCTCCTGAAATTTGTTACACGAATGCGCGCCGCGCTGGGGCGATAACCACATTTTGAAAACGACCCGCCCTCAACCAGTGAAGTTTTGACAGTTTTTAAACGAATATGCGCCGCGCTATGGCGAGAGCCACAGTTTGAAAACCTTCCGCCCTGAATCCGTGTGAAACCATCGTAAATGTTAGAAACGTGTGTGCGCCGCGTTAAGGCGAAAGCCACATTTTGAAAACGACCCGCCCTGAATCCGTGAAACTCTTGCACATGTTTAAGACGAATGTGCGCCGCGCTACGGCGAGAGCAACATTTTGAAAACTAATTTTCAGAGTCGCGAATGGTGAGGGAATCACAGGCGAATCGCCCGGCCCGCCCTCAAAACTGGCCTCGGGGTGCGACAGGGAAAAGTTATTCACAAGGAACAGGAATGGAAGACGAGGAACAGGAGGAGTTGAAACAGGCGGAGGCGGAGGAGGAGGAGGAGGAGAAGAAGGAGGGGAGGAGGTGCGAGCGAACCCAGCACATCACAGGCGCTGCAGTTATACGCTCCTGTTTCCTGTCTTGGCTCTTCTCGCCATGAGATACATACAGGATGCCCCCCTTATGAGACAGTTGACAAGCTGCGGATGCGAGGGGCTTCGGGTGCCAAACGTACTCGCGCAGTTTTGTTTTGCAAAAGCGGCAAATTTGGCGCCCGCATCGCTTTTGGCAGATCTGTTTTTTGTAGGCACCTGTGCCCGCAGCATGAGTCTGGAATACGGATCCTCTGAGGCGCGAGGCTGGAAAATCGCGGCGGTGGCCCATGACCACGCCGCTGGAGGAGTTTCTGAGCTGCGTCCTGTAGAATTGTCCTTCAGATGATACCCCTCCCCCTCCTCCTCCTCCTCCTCCTCCTCCTCCTCCTCCTCCTCCTCCTCCTCCTGGGGGGGGGGGGTAAAAGGGGAAATATGGGACTATATGGGAACCATTTTCGTGGTGTATGTTATTATGACGGAAGTTGTTTGGATATTCGGTTTGTGTATTTTCATTTCTTCATGTCTCGTTTCCCTTTCATCTTCTTCGTCGCACCCAATCCTGTAATGTTGAGAAGCGGCGCAACAGCGTTACCACTGAAATCTACACGAGGAATTTCTTCAACTGAAGGTCAGAAAAAGTCTTGGATCGCCGGGAAAACAAACATACAAAAAAACAGAAAACCATCGCCCTCTCCGTTTTCCTCTTCTTCTTTTTTCGGGGGCTGGGGTGGGGGAAACAAAACAATGGAAAGGGCAATGGTTTTCTGTTTCCAAACATTAATATACACAAATCGCTCGCACCAGAAATCGTATTGAAAAACCGCACATCAGTATTTCATGTGTAATTCGCACCATCGAATTTTGGTTTGTAATCCGTTCACATATGAATTCCTATTGCAAAGCGGCAAAAGGATTCTAAGTGTAATCTACCGCATAGAAATCAATGTGCAAATCGCCCGCAAAAGGAATTTCTTTAAATGAAGGCAGACAACACATAAAGCTATCCCCCCGTTCATTTTGTTTTTTTGTCCGAGGGAGGGGCGGACTCGAAAAAAAAAGGTGGGGGCGACGTTTTTTCGTGTTTTTTGTTGTTACGTATTCTTTTTTTTCCTGGAAGGTCTATTTTTTGGGGGCTCCATATCAAAGGTAATCCTAATGTGGGCGATGTACAGAAATATTCCTATTGTGTGGATTACAAACAAAGTCCTTCTTTGCGGCTTTTCGGTCGGATTCCTATTGTGGGCGATTTACACATTGATTTCTATGGTGCGCATTGCCTTCGAATCCTTTTTTTGTGCGGCTTTTCAATCGTATTATTTTTGTGGGCGGTTTGTAATTCGATTTCTATGGTGTGGATTACAAGTAGAATCCTTTTCGTGCGACTATACAATCGGATTCCTTGCGTGCGGGATTTACACATTGATTTCTATTGCGTGAATTCCAAATCAAATCCCTTTTGTGCGACTTTCCAGTGCGGTTTCTCGTAGGAGATTCACCTCTCCGTAAGGGCTTTGCCCCCTGCCGCCGGTCCCCATATGTCAAATCATGGTACATGCAAGAGCTGTGTGGGGAGGCCTGGGCACCGTCGTGAAGCAGCGTCGGAACCCCGAGCGATGGCCAATGTCGTACGGTACGGCTTGCACTGCAAACCTGAGAGGGATCGTTATTTGTGAGGACCTTGCGATCTAAACGTTGCTATCCCACAGTGCATGATGGTGCTGCGTACAATTGATCAGACTTCGGCCTTAATGCAACGTGTGGGGCTTTCTTTGACTTCTGGGGCCCAGGATTGGCGCGTCTTTTTTTGCGCTCCGTGCGCGTGGCGTCGCGGTTTGAAGTTTTGGGGGAGTATCGCCACCGTGAAGCGGCACGTTCAGTGCAGACCGGTCTTCAAAGCAGTCGTCCAGCGCGTGCGTGAAGGCTGAGCATCGTCGCGGCAGGGGCGGAGGGGGGCGGTTGGCAGGTGGGAGCGAAACGGGTTGTTCAGCGATGGCCGCTTCGCGGTACGTCCGTTCCACCCGCGACGCTCGGGGAGGGGATATGGGCGAGCGTCAGCGTCGGAGATACGCAAGCTGTTGTGTGATAGCCGCCCCCGCTACGTCCGCTCAGCTCGCGAATCTCTTGCAGGGGGCCACGGGGGCGCGAATATTGCATAATTTACTAGGGTGTGTGGGCTCGGGGTCGCAAATCTTGCGCCCTTCGCGAGGGTTTACGGCCTCGGGGACGCAAATATTTAGCTATCTACAAGGTGTTATGGCTTCGGGGGCGCAACTATCGCGAAATTTATGAAGTTGTATGGCCTCGGGGACGCAATTTTCACCAATTTACGAGATGTTGTCGCTTCGGGGACGCAGATATCGCGTCATTTACGAAGGCTTGTGGCCTTGTGGGCGCAATCTTTATATAATTTACAAGGGTTAATGGTTTCGGGATCGCGACAATAGCATACTTTACGCGGGTTCATTGCCTCGTATGTGCGAACATTGTATGATTCGCGTATCCCCACCAGCCTTCTGAGCTGCCGCCCGTTAGCTGCGCCTGTCTTGCTTTTCCGCTTTTCCGCTTTCCGCTGCCTAGTCGTGGCCCGGCTAGACGCCTTTTGACCCGCTTCACGAGGCCGTTGACCAAAAAGTATTCCCACCAGCTCATCCAGAAACGATCAGCAGGGGAGTTGGTAAATCAGGGACGGCTGGAAACATGCAGTTGCGCGGCCCTTTTCAGAAAAGCAAGGATCACAAAAAGCTTCCCGCATTGAAGTTTAAGATGGAAGCCGGTGCAAGTACGACGTGGTGTTCCCCGTGGTGAACGTCTCTGAGGCAGGTGGCTGCATCCACCCTGGGCCATGAGAAACAAAGACCACACGTAGCTTCCCGCAACGAACTTAACATGGAAACCAGTGCAAGGTGCGCCGGGGTATTCCCTGTGGTAAGCGTCTCTGGCGCAGCGGACCCCGTTGTAGAATCGGAATTTCTATTCTTGGACCCTCTAGGGGCTCTCTTGGGGGTCTCTTGGGGCTCTCTTGAGGCTCACATGGGGCTCATTTGGGCAGTTTTGGAGCCCTGTTGGGGCTCTTTTGGGGGTCTGGGGGGCCTCTCGGGGCCGTCTTGGATGGACCCTCAAAAAAGAGGGGGTCATGCATGTAGGTCCCCCCATCGGAGGCCCAAAAGGGGCGTCTTGGGGCCCTCTTGGACCGCTCTTGTGGCGCTTTTGGGCGCTTTCGTAGCTGTCTTGGGGCCCTTTTGGGCTTGTTAGGGCTGTGTAGGGCCATTTTGACGCCTCACGAGCCCATCGGAAGCGAAAGAGCGAAAAGGCAAACAACCGAGATTTTCCTTAGGTTTTGAACCCATTTCGGCCTCTTGGGGGGGTCCTTGGAGGGCTCGGAGGGCACTTGAAACCATCTTGGGGCCGTCTTGAGGCTTCTTGGATGCGCGTTGGAGGCTATCTTGAACCGTCTTGAGGTATCTTGGGCGATAGTGGATGCGCTAACCCCTCGCGGGGGAGCCCGTCCAGACCCAATGAGGGGGGGAGGTAAACCTCCCGAGCAGGAAAAGGAAAGAGGTTCCAAAAGGAAGCGCTCTAGACCGCCTGCGCCCAGAGGGCTGGTGGGATTTACGAGGGCGTATGGCTTCGGGGGCGCGAATTTCAAGTATCCTCACGTGTCCCACAGGCCCGCAGGAAGTCAGAACACGCGATCTGGGCGTGGTAACTGACTCCCTTTCCCCCCCCCCCGTGCGGACTTCAACAGTTTACAGTAGGAAGCAGAGCGTAGAACGATCTCATTGCGAACTGGGGCCTGCAACTGAACCTGCAACTGGTGCAGGGAACACGACATCTCCGCCACGCAGCCTGATGGCCCCGCAAGAAGGCCTGCGGATTGAATTCAACTGTGTGGAAATATGCCCATCCCAGAAAAGAACTGGCTACAGGCGGCTTGGCTTTTATTAGTCGGATGTTTTCAGGAGGTAGATCTCATCCACCTCCAATCGAAATCCCATGAGCAGTGGGTCCACCCCCAAAGGTGGCTCCGTTCCCAACGGTATGAATCTACCTCTAGTATGACTATATATCCCAGGTGCTTCAATCCTTCATGCAATTCTATTGGAGGTGGATCCACCTCCAATGGGATCCTATTTGAGGTGAATCCACACTGCATACAATTCATTTGCCCGTGACCCCGTCCATAACATGATCCCAGCAGAGGTGGATCCACCTCTCATGGGTTTCTATTCGATATGAGCCCTCCCTTGATCGGATTGTATTACATATAGTGTCCTTTTAGGATTCTGTTAGAGGTAGATCCACCTCCAGTCGGATTCCATTAGCAATTGGTCCATCCGTGATAAGACTAGCTATGGTTCCGCATGGTTTAGCAGGTTACAAGGTACTGGCTGAGCTTAGCACGGCTGGCAGGTGTTAGCAAGTATTGGCAAGTCTCAGCAGGGCATGTCTAGGGCCAGTATAGCGTCGAAGGGCTCGGTCGGGCTTATCAAGGCTTTGATGGGTTGGGTAATTGGCTCGCAGAACTTATCAAGTCTGAGCAGAGGGCAAGCAGGGCTTCCCGCGCTTGGCAGTTCTTGGCAGGGCGCGGCTAGACCTAGCAGAGCGTAGCGTGGGTCAGCAGGGCATAGCTCTGCATCGCAGTGGCCGGCAAGGCTCAGAGGGGCAAAGCGTTGCAGCGATTAGCAGGGGCGGAGCAGGGCATCGGAACGATTCGGATAGAGGTGGCTCAGTTCACTCCTAGGAATCAAGTCGAAGGTCATCCAAATCTAATGCGATTGTATTGGATTTGCTTCCATCCTTCAGGGGTCTCTATGGGCACTGGATCCACATCCGGATGGGATTCCATTAGAGGTGAAGCCACGCTGCGTGCAATTCAATTGCCCGTGGCCCCGTCCATAAAAAAAGATCCCAGTAGAGGCGGGTCCACCTGTCATGGGTATCTATTAGAGCTGAGTCCTTTCTCGTTTGGATGTTATTACATGCTGATCATCCGTTATAATATTCCGTTAAAGGTGAATCTACCCCCAATAGGATTTCAGTCGCAACGGGTTCATCCTTGCTGAGATTCCATTTGCTGTCGCCCCGAATGGCTTAGCAGGCGTCACATGGTTTAGCAGGTTATCGAGGTGCTGGCAGAACTTGGCAAGGCTAGCAGGTGTCAGCAAATATCGGCGGGTCTCCGCAGGGCATATCAGTGGCTAGCAGGGCTTGATCGCGCTTCTCAGGACTTAGCTGGGCTTGGCAGGTGGCTAGCAAGACTTATCAGGGCTTAGCAGAGGGCCACAGTGCTTAGCAGTGCCTAGCAGGCTTCGGCTACGCTTAGCAGGGCTTAGCAGGGCTCACCAGGTCTTTGCGCGGCATCGCAGTGGCTAGTCACAGGTGGCCCCAAGGATCCTGGATTCTACGCGAGGTGATTCAATTGCCAAGAAGATTCAAATTGAACTGGGTCCTCCTGTAACACTATTTTATGCCAGTAGGTTTCATCTTTAGACGGTTTCTATTGGAGGTGGGCCCGCTTCCAATAGGATACCAGTAAGGGTAAACCCACTTTTAATGGATGTTTGCCTGTAAACGTGGTTCCCTCCTCAACAGGATTCCTTTCGAGGTGGGCCCACCGCTGATAGGATTCGAATACATGTGAGTATTTCATCGATCGTATTTGCTTGTACGGATTGCGTTAGCACTCGTGAAATTCTGCCAGGGGTGGACCCACTTCTCATAGGATTAGATGCGAGATGGGCCTTCCGTAATCGGATTACATTCGATGTGTCTTCATCCTAGATATGATTATATAGCAGGTGGTTCCATCCCTGCTAGGATTCTGTCATAAGTGAAGCCGTTCCATATACGAGTTTAGTGCCCCACACGTTTTTGAATCTCCTGACATCGTCGCTACTGCCGTCCATTCCATGGCCCGTTGCTCAAGTCTTTTTCCAGGGGCATGAAGGAGGCCCGAGGACGAGGCGGAGGAGGAGCAAATAGGCGGAGGCCGACAGTAAATTCGCAAAGGCCTTTTAGATTTTCGCTCAGAACCTCGGTCACGGAATCATTCGGCCAAGAGGTTCAAACATTGGTCAGTGCCGGCACGGTTTTTTACACGAAATGGTGTTTCCGAGGGTTCCTTAGTGCGTCGTGCTGCGGGCACGGGGGAGATTTGGCAGTGTTTTCAAGAGAGCGCGAATGGGTTTGCCGAGTGGTTTCTGGGAGGGTGCGCGCGAGGCTGTGTCATCCACCAGCGAGGGCAAGGGGGAGCAGGCACAGGAGGTGGAGGCCCATGTGGCGTAGGGTCCAGGGCAGGGCCGGCGTGTGGGACGGCCTGTGTGAGATCACGCTTTCTGCTTGCTCGGACGGCGCAAAAAAGCAGTGACCGAGTCAAACAGCGCACGCACGATGCGTCGGCGCCCTCGCTTCGGACGGGACCGGGAAGAGGATACATCAGTTGCAAAGCGTTCCGGCATGTTTTTTTTTTTAAATCGTTCTGGAATGCTCTGAGAAGGCCGCGGCGCCCGAGACATCTTGCAGAGCCGCCAGATCTTACAGATTCCCGTTTTATTGTCGCCCGACGTTCTCCTCGTCCTGGTTTCGTCTTACAGCTACTGATTCGCAGGAGACGAAATTATAGAAGGTAGTATGGGCCCCGAGACACACACAGCCCGCTGCGAGCGCGGCGACAGCGTATACGGGCGAGCACCACCCATGGCTAGGCGCTGGGGTAGGTAGGCCGCGATTGACAAAGTCCGGTTCCGCTGGACAGAAGAAAAGGCATCGCAGTGATTATTCATAGGAGGAAAAGGTACCCATACCGCTGCCCTCGCCCTGCTTTCGCCTTTCTGGGGGCTTCTCGGCCCCCGTCGCCACCTATGGATTCGCCTCGAAATTCTCGTCAGAATGCACTCTGAGAGAGGCCTGGGGGTAGCAGTATGGGTACCTCTTGGTTTCCCCAATTCTATGATCTTCCTTCGGCGCGTCCTCCTCCTTTCTCCTCCTCCCGCCTCCTCCCGGGATGGGGTTCCCGCGGGGGTGCGCGCCACGGAAAGTGTTATTGCACCCGCACCTCTTGGCGTGGGGGCAACTTTCTGCATCGAAGGCACTCAGCGCAGGGCTTGCTCAAACACGTGAGCCCATCTTGGGCTCGGTGCGTCACTGCCCACCGCGGGGTGGCCTTACACGCGTGTGATTTTCGGCCCAGACAGGCTCAGCCCTCCTCACAGTGATGATCTTGCGACCAGTGAGTGGTCGAAAACGCATGCTGCGAGTCGTCGCCGGCCCCCTGCCTTGTGGAGACACCTGCGTCGTGGAAGGGCGAGCGGACGTGCGGCCGCGCCATAGTGGACTGACTGGGAGCACCGGGGAGGGGCCCTGTGGGGCCGTCTCGGGGTTGTCTTGGGGCTCTGTTCGAGCCTTTTGAGCCTTCCTGGGAGCCTTTGGGGGCTGCTTGAGCCACCTGGGTCCCTTCTCGGGGGCTGCCTCAGGGCGCTCCTGGACCGTCTGGCGCCGCCGGAAGCCGTGCCTTGGGGGCCTCCCTGGGCTTTCATGGGGCCCCTTTTCATAGAGTTGTGGCGCCATCGTCGGCAGTCTGCACGCTCGGGCCGTCACAGGTTCCTCTTGGGGCAGTTTTGGGCCGTCATGGGGTGGTTCGGGGTGCCTCTTGGGCCGTCGTGGTCTGTCGGATGTTCGATAGGGTGATCACGCCAAACTATGTCAAAACATAGAGAGTCCTTCTCAATATCATTTTCGGGCCATCCTGGGAGTCCTCCGGGATGCATGCTGGGGCCATCTTGAGCCGTCTTGGGGACATGCGGGGCAAATTTGGAGGCCTCTTAGGCCATCTTGAATCTTAGACGCCAGCTGGGCCCATTTGGCACCGTCTGGGGCCGTCTTGTGAACCATCGTGGATCACGGGGCCATCTTGGGGGCAAGCTTTCCGACTTGGGGACTGATGGCCTGTGGGGATCCTGTGGGGCTGCAGAGACTGTTTTGAAGAGTCGGCACGCCAAGCACCCCTTGGACTTGCGTCGGGCGTGCCCCTCCACAGGAGGAGTATTCAACGATAGCCAAAACATAGCCTGGGGACGATTTGTTTGATCATGTCTGACTACGTTTGAGCATTTTTTTGTTATTTCTCAGTTCTCGCCCAAGAGCCCCCTGGAGGGAGGGGGACACGCCCGGCGTAACCCTGGACAAATTCCAGGTGGCGGCATGCCCGGTGGCTTTCGGCCGTGTGGGTCCTGGCCGAGATGGCTCCCGGAGGCCTTTGAGAGGCTCCCTGGGGGCCCCTCGGACGCCTCCTGCAGTCTCGTCTTGGGGGCCCCCCTGTGGGGATTGACGGCTCTTGGGGTCCAGCGGTCTCGGAGGCCATCTTTGGAGGGATGGCCCACACCGGAGGTGCCATGAGGCCACCGCGATATAAACCTGTGCTGCTTTTGGCGCCTGTTTCGAGCAGGGCAACCTGACATGACCAGGATTCCAGCCACGCTTCTCAGTCGGGATGAGTTGGTTGCTGTTCCTGTCGACAGTTAAATCTAGTTGGCTCACCGGGATGGCCCCTGGGTCCCTTCGCGTTGACCCTTCGGGGGCCTCTTCTTGGGCATCGTGGAGGCCTTCTGTTTCCTCCGTGGTGTTCGTGGGCCGTCTTGGGGCCATCTTGGGGGTCTCGCGGGGATGCTGGCCCTCATATCGGTCCGCACGATTTCCAAGGCAGCCCGAGAGACCGCCGAGAGTGCTCGAAGACAGCCCATCAGGCCATATTGAAGCAAAATGGGAGCCAACACGTCTCTGAAGCCTCGGAAAAGTATGGCTGGGAACCCCAGTGCGCTTGCGACAGCCTGTGAGTTGGGGGCTCTGGGCCCTTCTGAGTCGTGCTCCGCGACGAATGCTGCGAACTCTGGCTCCATGCAGCGCTTGTGGCGCCGTGGCACTCACCGAGCGCACAATTCGCCACCGAGTTTGAAGAGGGCCACGTCTCGTTGTCCTTCTTGTGGCGTTCCCCCCAGGTCGCTCGGTCTTGCTTCCTTGCTGTAGCGTTCCCCGGAGTTGTTTGGTCTTGTTTCCTCGGTGTGGCGTCTCTCGGGATTGCCAGATTTGGTGTCCTTGCTGCCGTCCCTGGATTGCTCGGTCTCGTTTCCTTACCCGCATTCCCCGGGCTGTTTGGTCTTGTGTCCAAGCGAGGCCAAGGAGCGCCGAGCAATGCGAACCAACGCCAAGCAATGCAACGCAAAGCCAAGCAGCGCCAGGGAATGCAGAGCGGCGCCAAGCAGCGCCAATCAATCCCAAGAAGTGCCCAGCAGCGCCGAGCAGTGCCAAGCAGTGCGTAGTTTTTTTTTTGTTGGGTGGTGCACCAGCCTGCGAGACACTCAACGTCTGTTCGGCAGTTGTCCGTGGCGCTTGTGCCCCTCCCTCCGCGCGAGGTCGCCACTCGCGGGCCCTGGGCCACGGGCCACGAATCAGTGAAGCCGAGTGGCCTGGGCCACGGGCCACAGCCCACCGCATTCGTTTTCGTGCGAACCCTCTCTGCAAGTCCTCCCCTCCCCTCCCCTTCCCCTCCCCTCCCTCTGGTCCGTGTGTTCTTTTCGGTGTCACCTCAGCGGGGCGCCCCCTGATAGCTACCAAGTCGATGCTTGCAAGCATTCTGGATTCAGCGAACTGTTGCACAGGCTAACGGCAAAGATATTGGGTCGCTGTGGTACAGCGGGTTGCAGCAGTGGCGGTTCTTGATGAGTGCCTACCAATTATGTTGTCTGCACCCTAGCGACGGCAGTGCCCGCGTGGCACCGCACGAATCCACGCGACAACCGGCGGCCGCGGCAACTGCTCGGCGACGGGACGATGCCCCCGCCCAGCGGCGGCGGCCCTGGCAGAGACCCTCCGGTGCAAACGTGGCTTCTGCGCAGCGAAGTTTAAGCAAATGGGCATCACGCGCGGAGACCCCAGCACGCAGAACCCGTCGTCGACCGAGCGGGTACCAGACAGGCCCCTTTCGGAAGGGGTGCCCGCCTTGGCATCGCCACAGCAAGACTTGAACACAACGGCTCGGCAAACACTTGTGCTGGAGTCAGAACTTGTGCATTTTCCCTAAATGGCGCAGGGTGCCAGGCTGTGCAAAACTTGGCGCCGCGGCGCCTCGACTTGCTGTCCCGGCTTCGAGGGAGAGGGGCATGATGGGATTCAAGGGGGGCGCGGCGAACGGAAGCGCGGCAGTCAGGGAGGGGGCGGGGCGTTGGAGATGGGGGAGGGCAAGGGGCGGAGGCACGTCGAGACCGGCGCGTGCGAGAAGGGAGGGCATGCAATGGCTGCGCGCAGTGGCACCCTCCTGCGGGAGGCGGGCTTCGAATCTGCAATAGCACGTCGGCAGTTGCATTGCTCGGGTCGGATCTTGCGGGGAGGGCTTGCAGTGGCAGCGCGGTCGTGCGCTGTCCTGCGTGCGGCGGCACTCGACCTAGGGGCCGACGTCGCCGCAGCTGCCCTGCAGGGCTTGGCGCGCACGACAAGGGCAAGCAGTGGCAGCGCGCTCGGGAGCTATCCTGCGACACAGGCACTGGTTCTGGAGCCGGCGGTCTCCGCCACAGTGCTTGGAGCTGGTGTGTGCGACAGGCAGGTCGTGGCTGCAGGCCCCGGCGCTGCGAGAGACGGGGGTCCGACGCTGGAGCCCGCTGCCAGCAGCTGCTGGCCGTGCCGGGGCCGGCGCGTGCGAGAATCGCCTGCTGAGTCAGCGCGCTCCCCGGCGCAATCCTGTCCAGGGAAGGGCCAGGAGCAGTGCGCGCGAGGAGGGCATGCAGAGGCAACGCGCTCTGGCGCGATCCGCCGCTCCGTGCCTCCAAGAAGCAGGGCGCGAGGGCCGCAGCCGCTCGCGACGGCTTCGCCACGGGGCAAACCGAGCAGGAGGTTGGGTCGGATCGCGCCCTTCGCAAACGGAGGCCGAGCCAGGCGAGTGGAAGCAAGGATGGCCGCACCACACAGCTGCTGCCCGGGAGCAGGCTTCGCGGAGAGATCGGGCCCCCAAGCCTCGCAGACGACCAGGACTGATTCGTGATTCGAAGGAGGGGGGCTGCGACGGACGGCACAGGAGCTTGATCCCCTCGACGCCAAAGAGAACGTACACGCCGGGACGTTCTCGGGCGCTGCTCAAAAACGGCTTCGCTTGCCAATTGGCGCCACAGACCGCAGGTGCATAGGGCGTTCCTGCCTGGCCCACCTGGACGAGCGAGGCGACCACAGAGCAGCGCGCCTCCTTGCAGCGGACGCCTGCGCAAGCGCGGCGCCCCCATCGAGCGGACGCGGGCCAGGTGCGCCACGATGTGACTGGCCGCGCCCGCACTTGCGAGAGCTTGCGCGACAGGGGCCTCCCAGGTACTGCTGCCAGCGACGGGCGCCGCATCGAGGTGGTAGTCACCGGCCTCCCGGCGTACTGCGGGCGGCACGTCGCAATCGACGCCTGTGTCGCTCCCCCATGGACGGCCACCGGTGTCCCAATCGCGCGGAGGCCCCGCCTCGGTCTCGCGCTGACGAGGGCCAGGCGCCGCAAGCAAACTACTCACCCGGCTGCCGAGCCAGCCACCCGAGCCAGGGCAGCCACCCTGGCTGCCAAGCCCCGCGGGACCCCCTCGGAGATCACCTGGCCGCGTGCCCACGCACCGGGCTCCTGTGTCAGACGCGCGAAGCCACTCGAACAAGCTTGGCGAGGGTCGCAAGAGAAGCAGGCGAGAAGGTTGCCCCCGACCCACGTCGA